ACACGCGATGGTGCCGGCAATAGTCCTATTTGGATGCAAGAGCGGAACGAACGAAAGCGATGGCAAGGATACACAAGCCAGGTGGATCAAATCAAACTCTTAACCCAATCTTGTTCTTCACGGTACAGTCGCCTCTCTCTGTTAATGCGCGACCGATTTTTGTCGTCCGAAACGTGTACCTTTTCCACGTGGAAGTGGGTCAGATTATATCATCGCAACGGCACGCTACAACACGAGAGAAAAGTTGAATTAAAATTTTTCCGGTCGGTCCGTAACATTCTTTTCTACTTAAAATTACTTCCAAGATGCAGGTCTGATTTTGATAGCACAGAAAAACGTTCGGCCGATCGATTCGTTTGATCGTTTACCGTTAATTAACACGGAAGGGCAAACAGTCGAACTGGTTTGAGAAAATGGCAGTCGCATTATAGCAGAAGTGACTGTAACCGCTACTTACGTACACGTATCTAAATGACATTACCTACAAGGACGTTGCAGTAATTGGGAGAGGGACACCGTAGTGTCTAGATGCAACCAAATGCATGCGTAATGCACCCTACCGACCGCATAAATCACTCAAATGACTATCTTGATCGGGGAAGGGACAGCGCGGCTAGTGGTCAATACTTGTGCAAGTCTATATCGTCGCCATGGCGTTATTGCACCAATATTGCAATCCCAAGTGTGACATACTTTCAACGTGTGTGAGAGAACAAGTTTGGTGGGCCGGTAATTATGTAATATGTGTGCCGTTCTTTCGAAGCATTATTACCATGTCTCGTGCATAGCGAGTATATGTATATGGATCTTTTGAGACCGTTGCTCTTCTCCCTTCTTATTGGTCGTAAATAGTGCCTTGATCGAATGATATTTACCGAGGGAGATACAACGCGTTGAGTTGTAAAAACAAGTGGTACGATATCATCGCGATTTAATACCAGCTACACTCATTCACCGGCGTTATTCGTGCACGTGTATTTGTAATATTCTTCGTAACGCGCTATATATATGTATATTATTCTGGAGCGATGCTTTCGTCCGCGAGATTGCTTCAGGGCACGTGTGAATGCGAGAACGAATGGCGAAGACGCTGCAAAACGCTTAGTCAAGATGTACAGTGAGATGGAACACGTGTAAAAGTTTCTTGGTTAGCCGCTAGACCGACGGATTCTCTCGTGCCAGACGAAAATTTACGTCTTACCGAAGGGAAGGCTTTTTTCGGGCCACGCGTAAATATCTGAACGATGTAACGAACGATAAACTCTCGAACGTGAAACTCTTTCTGTTGTACAGCTAACGATAAAAACGCTGAAAGATCTTTGATCTTTCTCTCGAGGCTTTTCGTTAAACTCTCGACAAAAAAAAAAAAAAAAAAAAAAGAAAAAAAGGGATCACGTTTGATAACTTGTATCGGCAACGGTATGATACGGTATAATGCGAAAAAACCAAAAGTAAACTGGAATGAAGCCACGTACCGAATGCTTCTGCTCGATATTTTTCGCGTTTACGTTTAGCCGCTCTCGTTTCTCGAGCTTTCACGGTGGGATGGGCAGCGAAAAAATTTCACCTTTAACGCATGTATGTATACACTCTTGCGCGAGTGCAATGGACTGAGCGCAATGTTCATCAGAATTTCGTTTCGTTGCTTGTTTTCTTTTTTCTTTCTTTCTTTCCTCCTTTCCCTCCACCACCGGCGAATTTCGAAAAAACTCGCAAAGACTCTGGGGGAAAAAATCACGCGTAGAAGGATCGATGGAGGGGAAAAAAAAAAAAGGTTGACTAGACGCTGTTGGGAGTGGAAAATTAAAATGAGCTGCCCGGGGGATCGTGTCGCGTCGTGTGGGTATCCGTTACCAGGCATTCGCTCGAAAAAACGAGCAAGAAAAAAAGACAGTGTCTAGGGAAGTTGTGGTGCTGCGTGTGTACCGTTCGTGCATTCGCTCAGCTACACGGAAGGAGAGTGAGTGAGAGAGAGAGAGAGAGAGAGAGAGAGAGAGAGAGAGGAGTAGACAGTCCGGGGCTAAGGGAAAAAGGAATAAAACAACGTTTTGCGAGATGTCGCTCAGCGACATCGTCACTCTACTCTGTGAGAATAGTTTTCTTTTCTTTTTTTTCTCTTTTTTTTTTTTTTTTGTTTCTTGTCTCTCTGTCTATCAACTTATCTGACCTGGAGCGTGTACTGTGGTCCGTGAGGCTGTCCATGGTGATGATGATGATGCCTCTGATAATGCTGCTGCTGGTGCGGTGGATCGTGTTGATAACACTCTTGCTGATACTGTTGGGACGGGACAGGTTTCAGAACGTGGTTCGGTCGTTTCTCGGACGCGTATTGCTGGTTGTTGCGTTCCATTGTATCCACCGCTAAGCGAGGATCCTCTATCATCGTGTTTGAAGCCTTCGTGCTGAAACAGGTCGATATTGTTTGTTTCATTCTGCCGATATGGCGCGATATCGCTAATTCAGCCCTCTCTCCTCTATTGAAAAACTAATTTAGCTTCTTGGCTTTTTCGCTTTCACGGATACTCCGACTCGATAACTATGTCGCGTAGAACAAGTACAAGATCGTGTGAAATCGCGCGGTATAGCGTGAGATTGCACAGGGTGACGTAGAATCGTATAAAGTTACGGGTTAAATTGCATAACATTGTCTCAGGATCATGCAGACTTACGTAAGATCGCGTAGAATCGCGTGAAATTCCCTAGAATCGTATAAAAAGGAACGAATTGGCATCGGTCCGCGATATTGGCAATTAAGCTTGCAACCGAGTGGAACAGTAAGGTCGACGAATAATTCATTAGCGCGTGTACGTGCTTTCGCGAAAACGTATCTCCTCGAAAAGAGGATTCTTTCAACGCTGCCGAATGTTGAAATTGCTTCGACGTTTATTCGTGCAAATCACCAGGGGGATGCAATATCGCGTGCTTACCAATGCACTTGCTGCAGCGCAGGCACCGTATTTCTGGCTACGCAGCATCTATCCGAGCGTAGGAAACAAACGAATCCCATTACCAGCACCGAGAGTACCGTAAACCCAGCGACAGCGCCGATAACGAGTGGAATCTGCAACAAATACGCGGCACGGGGAGGTGGAAAAAAAAAGGTGGGATCCGGGGAAAACATTGTTTCGAGCGTACGCTCGCACGTAGCAACAATACGTGCAACAATACGTGCAACATGGCTTCCAGACTGTATTTTAATTCAAATGGACTCTGTTCAATTATTTAATTAGACTTTGGTTGTTCCCGCTCTCGAGCAAAAGTACGAGAGAAAAGTACGCGACAAGGCGAGAAGTGTTTGCTCGAAACATGTTGACTAGTCGTCTCTCATCTCGCGATGAATATCATTATAATTACCTGGCCCGGTTCGTCGACTCTCAGCATCAGAGCCCGACGATCGCTTCCACGATCGTTCTCCACGATTACGTGGTACAGTCTCTGATCCTCCTTCACCGTGCTAGTCAGTTCTAAAACGGCTATGTAACAATCTTCGACCGCCAGCGGCTCCAGATCCAATGCTCGATACCGCGACTCCAGAACCTCACCTGCGAACATTTCGCCCGGTAATTAGATCCGACGAGATCAGATGCTGTTACAACTGTAAACGTTTAATCAACGTATGTAAGATCACCGATCGTTGAAACCACGTGGCTGAGAGACTCCACGGTATGAAGGAAATGAACGGAGAAGAAGAAGAAGAACAAACAGAAAATCGCGAGAAACGGAAGCTCGTCTCAACTTCAAACAACGTTAAAGACGTGCGATAAAGTGTGAAGCAACGAAGGCATGGAAAAGGGGAGGGGGGGAGGCGAAGAAGAAGCTTGAACGTGAATCTTGCGAATCGAGAGACGCGCGGGGAATCGATCGTGACGAGGAAGGATCGAAGGTTCCCGACAAAACTTGGATGTTGGAGGTTCGGCTCGAGGAGGACGCGAGAAAAAGGCGGATAATTAAAGAGAAGCTGGCGGCTAAAAGGGATGCTCGAATTAATTAATCGCGAGTATACCACTTTTCAGTAATACGGAGTGCCAATTAGTGAGAAGAGACGTACGTAAAAAAAAAGAGACAGAGAGAGAGAGAGAGAGAGAGAGAGAGAGA